AGCGATTCTACTCTGGAACAGGGTGTATAAAATTGCGCTCGCTCTGGGACAGGGTTTATGAAATCATGCTCTCTCCTCTCTGGAACAGGGTATCCATTTTCCCAATACTGGAACAGGGTATGATTTTCAGCAATATTGCTCTAGATGAGGGTATGAATTTCAGCAATTTTACTCTGGAACAGTGGGCTCAGCAGCACATCCATACCCTAAACGGGCAAGAGTACCCCCCCTGGGACATTGGGTCGGGATTCGTTTTGTAAATTCGAAGATGGCGGCCATTATTCTGGCAGATAATTTGGGGTTGTATCATATAATGTTGGGGTGGATCTCTTTTTTGCTATTTACTGCAAAATTCTTCCCCACCTATATCCTGGGGTGGTGGTTAGGTCAGGGTTAACTTTGACTGGTGCATACCACTCTTCAGTAGTATGAGCTAATAGTAGTGAATATTGTCATATAACACTATGACATTTCATTAAAACAGTTAACGCTAAGAATTATGGTCGATAGAAGGGGACAGAATGACAACAATACAAAGAAAACGTCAAAATGGAGAAGGAAGGAATGACAACAAAATTCCATTAATGTCGAAGAATAAACATTGACACATAACATATATGGGAACCGGACAATTTGAAACCAAACTTTCAAAGAGAAAAAATAATTTAGTCGAAATTTCCTTTGTTTTTATCGATTCTGTCCCCCTCTGTAAACATGCTGACGTCATAGTGTTATGGGGCAATTAATCACTGTCAACCCAACCTCTCCTAATTTCATTGGCCATGTTACCTCTAGGGTCATTCATCTTGACAATGGCTTGACTGCCTTACTCATCTCTGATACCAATACGGTATCATCAAGGCAACGCCATCATAGCAGCCACAGTAGCTCATATGTCAGTGACACAGAAGAATCAGATGATTCTGATGATGAGAGTAACGAGGGGAGTGAAATAGAAGATGATGATGTTACTGAAACTATGGGAACTAGTGATAATAAATATGATGATGATGAAGAAGAAGAAGAAGAAGAAGAAGAAAACATTAAGAAAGAGCATGACAAATATAGCAAACCAGATGCAAAACTGGTGAGTTTGTTGAAGTTCTTTTTACTGAACTCTGAACTCTGAGTCTGCGAGCTGCACGCTGAAATTTGGTTTTTCGCTGCAGTCAATCAAACCTTTCATATTTTTGACTGGCGGCATCAAAAAACCAAATTTCAGCATGCAGCTCGCAGATACAGAATTTGCATGTTTATGAAAATAGTCCATATATAGCAGTTTTGCATGATCAGATTTTGGGGTTGATATTATAGAGAGCAATATAATTTTGAGCCTTTACTCTGGGGAAATGAATGAATTCTCAAAAGTACAACAATTGTGTCCATGAGCATGCCATCTAACAATTACCTGTAGCCACCATCTTGTGTTCATATAAAAAGGTTTTTATCAGAGGAAAAAAAGACAACTACTGTAGTGGACTATCACAAACCTTGCATTCTGATAAGCTACTTTAATTATATCCTCACTAGCATCTAAGTAGATGGCACCAGTGTTTTATAAGGACATGTCCAAGCCATAGCAAGGGTTTAACCATTTGCAGATCAGGTCACAGCTAGAGCAATATAGACATAGTTCTCCATAGTCTTTGTTTTTGACATTGTGATTTTTTGATTTCTTATACAGGCTGCCGCTGCTCTGTGTATTGGTACTGGAAGCTTCTCTGATCCGAATGAGATTCCTGGACTTGCACACTTCTTAGAACATAGTAAGTGAACCAGGATGATGTCTGTCTATCTGTTAGTCAGTCAGTCAGTCTGTTAGTCAGTCATTAGTCAGTCAGTCAGTCATCAGTCAGTCAGTCAGTCAGTCAGTCAGTCAGTCAGTCTGTCAGTCAGTCAGTCAGTCAGTCAGTCAGTCAGTCAGTCAGTCAGTCAGTCAGTCAGT